GCACACGATCGACAATGTGGATGCCCACCTCTTCCCGCACTTGTTCCCCGAGGGCAAGGGCGGCTACCCCCAGCAAGCCAACAAGAAGTTCACGGAGTATGCTCGCCAGAGGCTGCTTGGACAAGACGGGCGCTTCGAGAAGGACCCCTCCTACACCATGTGGCTGCTAGAAGAGCACATGAAGAAACGCCTCTCCGGGAACGTCAATGTCCGAGTGAAAAACCAAGAGCTACCACAGATGGGCAATCGGTATGAAGCCTTCAACCGCAACGTTTTCTCGGCCTTGAGGGACCTGCCGGGCACATTGCCTTACCTCTACTCCAAGAAAGGGGTAGCCATGAGCGTGTATGATCAGCTCGGAAAGCCTCAATTCTTCTTGACTTTGATGTGCCATTGCAGGCAGCCCAACATCTTGACGGCCGTGGTGATCGCCAAGCTCCTCCGGGATCACGCCTTTGCAGCTGGTGGGGAAGAAGTGGAAGAGCAGGCGGCCAAAATCGTGCACCAGTACATGATCAACGAAAACCACACATGGGATGGCATGACCGCAAACCAGCTCTGCAATTCCATGCCGGCCATCGTTGCACGGCAGTTCACGCATGGCCTCAGGCAGATGCTCCATTGGCTCCAGGATGGCGATGGCCGCGGGAGATGACGACGCAGAGCCGGTGGATTGGTCGGATGACGAGGCGAGGGAGAACTCCATTCCAACTTGCGCAGAGGACCTCAGTGACAAATACATCCGCACCAAGTCGGCCTACCGCTGGAAGAATGATGACTCCAAGGTCCCAGAGAAGAGGCGTAAAGTCAACGCAAAGCTGGCTACTTTCATGGAGCACAAGTGCGGGCCTTACTGCGGAAAGTACACCCCGGGTAGCTGCCGCTTTGGGTTTCCAAGGGCTGCAGAAGAGCAGAGCAGGTGGCGCGCGCCACAGGAGCAATTCAACAGCCGATGGAAGTCCAGCCTGGCAGCCCGGCGGCACCAAGATGATGGCATGGTGGGGCAGTACAATGAGGCCATCCTTCGCTTTTGGCGGGCCAGCATGGACTTGCAAGTTATCTGTGAGCTGACGTGTGCCAGCAAGTACATCCTTGGCTATGCTTTCAAGTCAGAAGAAGACCTTGCGGCAAAGAAGCGCATCGATGCCACCATGGAGGGCTTCCTCCAGGATTTGGGCCGGGTGGACTTGACCACGAACGAGGTGTACAGAGCAGCCCATGCAGCAACACAAGGGCGCACCACCTCCACCTTTGAGGCGGCTCACTACATCCTGGGCTTTCCCACAGTCTTCTTCTCCAGGGACAATGAGTAGATTCAAGTTGTCTCTCCTGCGACCTGGACATTGACAGTTCCACAGATGGAGGAGGCAGACGCCTTGCAAGATCCAGAGCAATATGCAGCCATGAGGCGACTAGCTGGC